CATGAAATCAGCCTTGGTGGGAGTATTTTTTTTTAATAGACAACTTTTTTAGAGCAGTTTTAGGTTCATAGCAAAATTGAGCAGAAGATGGAGATTTTCCTTATACTCCCTGTCCCCACATGTGCATAGCCTCCCGCATTACCAACATCCCCACAGCCGATGAACCTACAACAACACATCATTACCACCCAAAGTCCACAGTTTACGTCAGGGTTCACTCCTGGTGTTGTACATTCTATGGGTTTTGACAAAGGGCTAATGACGTGTATTCACCATTATAGGATCACAGAGAATAATTTCACTGCCCTAAAAATCCTCTGTGCTCCACCTGTTCATCTCTTCTCCCCCCTCACCTTTGGCAACCTTTGATCGTCTTTCTGTCTTCCATAGTTTTGCCTTCTCCAGGACGTCATGTAGTTGGAACCATACAGTATGTAGCCTTTTCAGATTGGCTTCTTTCACTTAGTAATATACATTTAAGTTTTCTCCGTGTCTTTTTTTTTTTCTTTGAGGAAGATTTTTGAGGAAGATTAGCATATTTGTGCTGAGGAAGCCTGGCCCTGAGCTAACATCCGTGCCCATCTTCCTCTACTTTATATGTGGGACGCCTACCACAGCATGGCTTGCCAAGTGGTGCCATGCCCGCACCTGGGATCCGAACCGGCGAACCCCGGGCCGCCGAGAAGCAGAACATGCACACTTAACCACTGCGCCACTGGGCCGGCCCCTCCTCCATGTCTTTTCATTGCTTGATATCTCATTTTCTTTTTTAGCGCTGAATAATATTCTGTTGTCTAGATGTACCACAGTTTATTTATCCATTCGCCTACTGAAGGACTTCTTGGTTGCTTCCAACTGTTGAATAAGTTATGAATAAAACTACTATAAACATCCATGTGCAGGTTTTTGTGTGGACATAAGTTTTCAGCTCCTTTGGGTAAACCCCAAAGAGCATGATTGTTGGATCATACATTAAGACTATGTCTAGTTTTGTAAGAAACTGCCAAACTATCTTTCAAAGTGGCTGTAGCACGTTGCATTCCCGCTGGCAGTGAATGAGATTTCCTGTTGCTTCACATTCTTGCCAACATTTGGTGTTGTCAGTGTTTTGAATCTTGGATTTTCTAAGAGGTATGTAGTGGTATCTCATTGTTTTAATAAGCATTTGCCTAATGACATATGGTAGTGAGCATTTTTTCATATGCTTACTTGTGATCTTTTGTCTTTTTCAATGAGGTGTCTGTTCAGGTCTTTTGCCTCTTTTTTAATCAGGTTGTGCATTTTCTTATTGTTGGCTTTTAAGAATTCTTTGTATAATTTGGATAACAGTCCCTTATCAGACATGTCTTTTGCAAATATTTTCTCCTAGTCTGTGGCTTGCTTTTTCATGCTCTTGACATGTGGTAGGAATATCTGCACCACAGAATTGGCAGACGTAACAAATCAGGGCTTTCTCTCAGAGAGCCCATTGTTAAACCTTTACCAGCACACCAGTGCATTCATGCATCATGCATTTGTTGGGTGAACTCAAAAATGTTCAGTCCGGTGGGGGAGGCAGGTCAATGACTAATGCAGAGTTCTGACTTGTCAGGATAGAAGCAGAACAAGGATGCTAAAGGAAAATTAACTAGAGGTGTCTACATCAGCCAGGAAGTTGGGATGGCTTCTCAGTGGAAAGCTTGAGCCCTGAGCCAAGTATTTCAAAGAGAGCAGTAGTTGTCTGGACCCAGGCTGCCCAAATAAGGTAGTTACTTGCCACATATAACTCCCTCGCACTAGAGACATTGCAGTACTCAATAGGCACATGTGGCTAGAGGCTACCACAGTGGACAGAGCAGCCATAGAATTTTCCCATCATCATCACAGAAAGTCCTATTGGACAGCACTGGTCTAGACAAAAAAGTGGGAGAAAGGTGTTCTAAGCAGAAGGAACAGAATGGGAAGACTCAGAGGTCTGAGACGACATGACTCATCGTGGGGAGAGACGGAGTTGTGGCTGAACAAACAGACAGCAGTCAGATCACAAAATGTCTTTAGTGTGAAGCTAAGGAGTTTAAACTCTAGCCTGGGAACTACGGAGAGCCCCTGAAGGCTTTTGAACGGAAGCCTGATATCATCAGCCTTGCATGTTAATAAGATCTCTCTGGCAGTCGGTGGAGGCTGAATTAGTGGGGGCCACCAGGAGGCAGGGAGACTAGTTCTGAGACTGTTGCAGTCACCTGGGAGAGGAGTCTGAAATGAGGCAGTGACAGTGACACAGATGCAGAGAGAGGGTAGAGTTGAGAGACATGAGGGAACTGCTGGCTGATTGTGTCTGGCCCCTAGCAGGTACTTTGTAAATATTTGTTGATTTAATGAATGAATTATAGCTGAGCCCAGATCAGCTCATGGGGGCACATCCTCTGGGGCCCTAGGTGGTATCTATTACACAGATGAAGAGGTATGAGAGCATTCCTTTTCATCTGAAGGAGAAAGGGGCAATAGGAAGAGAGACAAACAAGAGATGGAAGGGAAGTTGGCATCTCCTGACCTGTCTGATGGAGAGAGAGCTCCAGTGAGGACGGAACATGCTGTGAGGGGCCCTGGAACAGCAGTGCCTCTCTGGGGTCCAGGGACAAGGGCTACTCAGAATTGGGTCAGGCCATTCTCCACTCCACCCCTTCCTCAACCCCCTTGCCACAGGGACTGCAGGGCAAATTTGGTTTCCTAAAGGGCCAGGCCATTTCATCAGCAGGCAGATGGAATGCACAGTAGATCCACCGCATCAGGAAGCCGTTGTCAGCAGAGGATGTTCAGGGGCAACTGAACATGGCCAGAGGAGGAGACAGAAGCAGACCAGTGCTTAAATACACGAGAGGTACCAGGCTTGGAAGTAACTGGAGGAGATTTTGAGGGCAGGTGGCTAAAAGCTATGGAACTTAGGCATCAATGATAATATCACCTTGTTTGCACCTGCAGGTCTGTGAGGCCGGGACGTTTGGGTTACGGAACGAATGAGAGGTGAGATGAGGCAGGCTGCACTTGTTCATTCGTTAAATAAATATTTACTGAGCCTCTGTGTGTCATGCATTGTGCCAGATGTTGGGCATACAAGGGTTTACAAAACAGAGATGACCTCTGCCTCCAAGGAGCTTCCGTCTAACAGTCATATGAATCAGTCAAGCACCATCGGCTGTGTATGTGCTGCTCAGGAAAAGCACTAGGAGCCACAAGATGGTCTAATGGGAAGCATCACTTTAGATTAGGGGTCAAGAAAGGACAATTTGAGAAAGTGACATTTAAACCAAGACCTGGAGATGCACAGGAGCCAGCCAGGTGAAGAGTAGCGGATATGCATTCCAGGTGGAGGGAAACGGCAGGGGTGAAGGATTTGGGGACAAATCCTTGGCCATGTGGAGAGAAGGCCAGTGGGGCAGGGGCAGGAAAACAAGGAGGGGAGAGACACAAGAGGAGGCTGGAGAGGGAGACAGGGGAAGACCTCACAGGGCCACATTAGGATTTTGGATTTAAGCCTAGGTGCAGTGGGCAGGGGAGTAATGCCATCAGATTCATGTCTTACAAAGAACGTTCAGCATCTGTGTAGAGAATGGATTGGGGACAAGAGAACTGCAGGGAGAGAAGTGTGGAGCCTCATCTAGTTGCCTAAGGGAGGGATGACGGTGGCATGGCTGAGGTGATGGAGAGAAGTGGAGGAACCTGAGAAGTATTTAAAAGAAGAATTGAAACAGTATGTTTTCCTCATACTGCTTGGTATAGACAGGCTGAAATGGTGACTTTACACAAGGCAAACAGCAAATATTTGGACCATGCCAATCTGTCCCCCAGGTGGTCTGTTTTGCTTTGGGTTAGCTGACGTCTAATGATGTCACATGGGACATTCCCCTGCCCTCAAGCAGGACCACACCTGATAGGAGTCAATTTTATATTTAAGGATTTCCTGAGAAAGCTTTCATAACTTCTTCTGTAACCTCTGCTCATGTTTAAAAGAATTACTATTAGGAAATCCCCGTTGGTATTTCATCTGAGTGCCTCTTGCCCTAAAGTTTCTAGATTCTTGATGGAGATGAAGATGCTAAACTAATAAGTCACATGGGCCACAAAATATGAATGATGTCTTAATGACAGTTCTGGATCACATCTGTTGCACAGCCAAAATGATTTGTTAGCAATGAAGAAAAATGCCTGAATATCCCCAGAAAAGTGATCCAATTAGGTTTTTGTAGCTGTTTGCTTCACTGCCAAGTTCTTTGCCCTCGCTACTGAAAGTGTGGTCCGTGGATCCAGCAACATCACCCCAGAGTTTGGTAGAAATGCAGGATTGAACCAGAATCTGCATTTTAACATACTCCCTGGGCAATTCATAGGCACATTAGTTGTGAGAAGCACCCCTTAGATCACCCTAAGGCCACCTAAAAGTGGGTGGGCAGCGGCAGGTGCCAGATGTCTGAGATGCAGCGAGCCTCAGCAAGCGGTTAGAAAAACCAAACTGGTCCAACAGGAACTGGATTTTCTCTGGAAGTTCCCCGCTCCCAGGTCACACAGAGCATTTCAGGGCAATTCAGAGACAAGGTGTTGTTTGCTGGTTGTGTGGCTGATAAGGGCGCTGACTGGACGCGCCCTTGGTGCCGAAATGCTGTCAGGAGGAAAGCAACGGCTGTGTGCTCCCCGAGGCAGCACCAGTGGCCAAATAGAGTCAGCCTCCCCTCCCCCACAGTGGGAACAGTGTGGTCCTTGTACTTTCGTCTTAGTCCCTAACGGCCCTTGTTCTCTGTGGGTGGTTAGGGTGACTCTTGCTTCCCTCTGTATTGGGCCACATCATGAGCAGGGGCGAAGCTGTTCTAGCATCTCAATTAAAAATACTCCCACAATGGCCTCTGGTGGAGCAGAACGCCCAGTTCCAGGGGCTCTGAAAGCTCTACCCACACTGTGTGGTCAGCCTCTCCAGGCAAGCGACCCCTGCCCCGACCTGAGGGGTGTGTGACACAGACACCAGACGCAGCCTGGCAAACAAGGGCACTTGTTTTATTCCTGCTTCTTGAGAAGTGTTTCAAGGCACAAAACCCAGACCGGAATCAAATCTTTTCCCTCTGCCTTCACTGGGGCTGGTCCTCCCACATCATTAGACAAACGGATGAAGTCTGTGGGCTGTTTAAAGCGTATGCTTTGTAAATACTATAAAATCAAACATTACTTTTGGCTTTTATTTACCGTAACATGTTCACGTTACCTAGCACCAAAATAGCTCATGAGGCCCCTCTGTCTTTGCTCTCTCCCTCCCTATTCTCCTGTCTCCACCCCTGCCTTCCTCGGTGCTCACTGCTCTGCTCTGATCCCTCCTTCCGCCTGCCTGGGTGCCCTGCGTGCCTGCTCGCTGCGGATGTGCCCTCCAACGTCTTCCTCGCCTGTCCCGCTTAACCTCCTGCTCCCTCTCCCTCCCTTTGTGTCTCTCATGCTGCTCCTTGATCTTTTGAAAGGTCTGGGCTCCCTTTTCCTCTCTGTGCTTTCATTTCCAAAGGCTGCGAGAGGCTCCTCACTCATGCTCGACTCCCCCCCCACCTGCCTCTCTCAGGCCATTTTCTCCCCCCTCCCAAGACCCACCACAGAGGCCCTTCTTGTTCCCTTTTTCTCTAATGGCGACGTGGGGATCAGAGAATCGCAGGATTCAGTGTCAAAGGGACAGAGCCTACGTTACGCTGACAGTTACTTCTGAGTCAGAAACTCTTCCTATTTTACCTGCGATAATGCGACAATGGCTGCCCCTGTCCCTCCTTAGAGCTGGAAGGACTGGGGAAGAGGACAAGGAACAGGCCCCACTCACTCCTGTGCTCCCTCACCAACACTTTCACCCCAAACCTTTCTTTCATGTCTTGGTACACACACACCCTCCTAAGTGCCCTCGGTGCAGACATGTTTGCTCCCAGCCTCCACTAAAACGCTGAGCTTCCTTCTGCCCAGCCCAGCTGGCCTGTGCTTCACGCCCGCAGGGTGAGCCCTAGGACAACCATTCTATTCTAGGTGAGGAGGAGACACAACGGCAATAGAGTTCCGGGGGGGCAGGGGGAGGCGTGGTACCAGCAGTGGCCCAACAGTCAGATGGAACAGGAAGTTCATCTCAGCTCCCTCCCAGGGGCATGTTCAATCAGTCAATCAATCAACCAATTGCTAGTCAATGTTCTTGTGGAGTGGACTTCTCACTGTGCCACTTGGCAAAGCATCTTCAAAACACAGAAAACCAAGAGGAAAAACAAATAGAGCCCCAAAGAGACACGCTCGTAACATAAAACAATGGCTCTAAAATCCACATTCTGGGGCAGGGCTTCTCCAGGCACTTAACAGGATCTAGGCTGTTTCTTTCTTGGAAGCCAGGGGAACGGAGGTTAAACCCAAGTAGCCGCGGAGAGGTTTGTGAAAAATCCCTCCATTTCCAGATCTGGGCTCCTCACAGTGTCTCTGTTTCTCCGTGTCAGCCACAAGGAAGAGGATTAGCTGAGGAACATTCTTTTGAGCGAGATGAAGGTCTCGGCTAAGCACCGACCAGGAGGCCAGCCTTGCCCAGGCGTCGGGACACCGGCTGCTCTAGTCCTGCCTGCACACCCCTTCCGGCTCCCAGCTCAGACTTGTGTGGCTGCACCTTAATTCTCAATCCAGTGGTGCCCACCCTAGGAGAACAGGAGGAAAGCCGCCTACAAACCCTCAAGGTGAGCAGGGCCTGCAGGTGAGCCAGAACATGCCCCACCAAGTCCAGGTCCAACTCCACCCTCTTGTTCTGGTCCAATGCCAGGGTGTGGATTTCTGCTTAGCTCCTTTCCGTGAAAATTCCCCAGACAAGGAGGAAGCGGTGCCATCTTAAGGACAGGAAGAATTTCAGTTTCATTTCCCTGCCCCGTGCTTCCCAACTCCCCACTGCCTTCTGCATGCACAGCCGCTGAGGGGAGTAGAAAAACAAGTACGAATGTAATTCCCTACCTGAGTTCCTTTCATATCAACTAATTAACCAACTAAATTGCCAATAAATTACTATTGTAAAATGTGTGTATGCATAGGCATATCTCTATGTGTAGATGTGTAGACACACACACACATATGTACACGCAAACATAGTCCGAGCTTTTCTTCCTTGCCCCCTCTCTTGCAGGCAGCTTCAGATGAGAGCCTCTGACTGCTCAGAAGGGCTTCACCGGGTCATGGGTGCCACGTAGTTGGCGGGGAAGAGGCCCAGTCTGTTGTGCAGGCGGCCGGTCCACCAGGACGGGTTGGAGCTATCCAGGACTTCCACCACCTCTCCGCAGCGGAACCCCAGCTCGTCGTCCTCAAGGGCCTCGAAGTCGTACAGTGCACGGGCCCACCGCACTCGCTGTCGGTGGAACACACAGAGAGGTCCTGCTGGGACGGGGGCTGGCCTTTGAAGTTACTGTCACACGGAAGGGGATCTGCTGACTCTGGCACCAAGACCAAGTCCTCCCTGAGCAGCCCACCCTGCAGGCTGGTATATGGCTTTCCAGAGACAAACCCTGCTGCCCCTGAAAGCAGACCCCTATGCACAGCCCTGAGCACGAAGTCATCAGAAACTATCAGAGTCATTCTTGAGACTCAGGACTTTACCGACAGAGATGTTACTCTCCAAGGCCGGAAGAGAATCCTTGAGAACTACTCTCCCTACATCAATCCCCAATCCTTTTAATCCCTTCAAGTGACAAACTGAAGGGTGGCACACCCAAACTAACAGCTCTCAGTGCTAGTGCAACCAAGTCAAGATGGATCTCAGGGATAAAGGCAATGAGATCTCCCTCTGCTAGAGCTGGAGCCAAGAAATGTGAGGACAGGCAAGGCCTGATGGCCAAACTGAGAACAACACACTGGATGGTGCTGGGCTGGGATCAGCTCTGGCCCAGAATTCTCCCTGCGCCTTCACTGCCTGGGTTCCCACCACTTCCATCTGAGCTTTGTGCAGTTTTACATCTCTCCTGGAGGACCAGCGATTTCTCTAATTGGCCCTCTTGCCTCCTCCACTGAGCCCAGAGAGGGAAGTTCACGTACCCCAGCCACTTGGAGTTGCACCGGGTCTGTGTGTCTCCTGTGCATGAGGGCGGCGTTCATTTCACTGCCCACGCCCATGCCACAGTGTCCATCGTTTATGTCAAGGCTGCCTCCACGGCGTTCCTAGAAACAGATCAACAGGGGACCCGTCACCACACTGCCAGAAGCATGCCACACAGGTTCCCGCGGTGCCTTTGCTCGGATGCCATGGACACAGCCAGTGTTCCAAGAACACTTACTGATGATAACAATAAACCCTAGATGACGGAGGGATGGGGAAGGATGACAAAGGGACCTTAGATTGTGAAGAGGATGCCAGATTTCATTTCAATCAAGGAATATTTATCAGGCACCTACCATGTGTCTAGTACCGGCTTAGTACTGGGGATACGTGACTGGAAAGAGAAGGTCCCTGTGTCCATGGAGCATTAGTTTAGAGGGGAAACCATACACATTTAAGTGATAAGTGAGCAGAGAGAAGAGTGTCTAAGTCTACCTGGTAATCAGGGAAGGCTTCATAAAGGAGGTGATTCTTGAACTCCAGCTTAAAGGAGGAGTAGGATCGGCCAGGAGAGGGCAATTCAGGCAGAGGGGACGGCATGTGAAAAGCCTCAAACGCGTGAGAGCAAACACCATGGGCCTTTCAGGTAACTAAAAGTAGTAGAGCATTGCTGGAATGCGTGTTCGCCTGCAGAGTAGGGGGAGGCAGCAGGAGATGAGGCTGGGGAAACAGATACCGGCAGCTACAAAGGACTTCGTATGCCCTGCTAAGGAATTTAGGAATGATGTTATCTGGCTGTATTGTCCATCTCGGTAAGCTGCCTAAAATCCCATCTGGAACAAGGCGGGGGATATATAAACAAATAAGCAAGGTTCCATTGCGGGTATTAATCTGTTTTTCTTGTGGATCTCGACAGCCAGATGGGTTAAGGGGCATGAATAGATTTGGAATTGTGCTGATAGGAAAATGAAGCAATTGTTCACTGAGTCCTCAGGGTAAGAATGTGTGTGTGTGTTCAAGCAGGGAGCCATTTAATTCACAGAGGCTTCCTTGCCAAGAGCAGTTTCCGTATCATATTTCTGCCATTTGGGGCGCTCAGATCTTCTTTATGAACTCTATGAGACCTGAGGAGGCTGGGCCAGGCCTAGGATGTTCCTCCCCTGGCCAACAGTCCTGGGACCACAACAGACCCCCAGCATTGATTTGCTGTGGTTGTTTCCAGCACTGAGGGGCATTTTCACACACTAAGTAGCAGTGGGGACAAGGTGGCCCAAGCCTGGGAGGAGAGCAGCTCCTCCTCCTCCCTCACTGCAGCCCACCTCATTCTTCTGTGATACCTGATGAAAATGGGGATGCTGCAGATACCGCTGCTGCTGTGGTGGCGGTGCCGGGGGATACTGCAAGGGAGCCGGTGGTGGGTGATCTGACAGCTTCCGGTTCATCGAAGGCCGGATTTCCTCTCCCACGGCCCCACTGAGGTGTGGGCCTCCCTGGAGCCTCCGGTCCAGGCTGCTGCCCCGGCGACCCTGGGAGAGAACAGAGATAATGCGGATCCATCCTCTTCCCGCATCTCCTCACCTTACCCTGGCCTTCAGGCAGCTGTTCTCAGACTTTGTTTACAACAGCTCCAAGAGACAGCTGATGGGGTCGGGGGCAGCTGGAAGAGAACCGATGGTTCAGACTCTCACATTTTCAAAGGTGGCCTCTGCATTCTCAGATTCTCCCAGTTTGGGGATTTTGGGTCTTTGGTTCACAGACTGACACTTTCCACGTGGTACCATTTAGCCCATTCCTCGTGGGCTTGTTTTTCTCTGCACAATCAAGCTTAAATATTCTATTTTACTGACGTAATGCCACCCCTCCTTATCACATGTTGCCACACCAGTGGACATCCTACTCTCCACATAAGCTCTGCTCTTGACTTTGCATGATTTTGAACTGTCATTTATAGCCTGGTGACAGAGACCCAAACAACAACACTTGCAAAACCATGGAAACTGGCCCGCGGCTGGGCGTGTCGAGAAGGAGCGAGGCCTTTCTCCTTAATGCCACCACAACCTGGTGACTCAGAGATATTCTTGTTATTTCTATTTAACAAATAATTATGCAGGGCCCCGGGCTTAGTATATGCCAGACACTGTTCTAAGCACTTTACAAATATGAACTCATTTATTCCAATTTAATGCAGTTTTTTGTTGTGTCTTGTCTCTGCATGCACATCCTGGTAAATTAATACCTCTGTCCGTTTCCTGGTTAAAACAATTCAGAAGGTCTTGGTTAACCTTTGTTTTTCTCTCTGAACTTTTGTGTGCACTTGGTGGGAACACCCTTTTCTCTTTGATTGTAACTTCTCAGGCTTAAAATCAACTGATTACTTGACAGGGACGGCTGTCTCTACTTCCCCAAAGCACATGTTGCTTTGAAAGTCTCAATGCCTTTTCAGAGAACCTGTTCCTGGGATCTTAACTATCCCAGCCAGTGCTTCTTTCTGTAATATCTGTCTCTTATAACCATGGCATTCCCTTTGAAAAATATTTTGCAAATTGTGTGTGTGTGAATTTACTTATGAGAGGCAAGTTAACATTTCCTTAGTGCCTACGATTGTCCAGACTCTGTGGCAAGTGCTATAACTATATTATCTCCTTTAATCCTCATGACAGCCCAGTGAGGGAGGTATTATATGCTCTCCATTTTACAGACGAGAAAACTGATACTCAGAAAGGTTTCTTAACTTGGCTTAAGGTAATAAGGATAGTTAGTGCTGAAATCAGGATTTGAAGCCAGGTCTGTCTGATGCATTTTTTATTAAAACAGTATCTGTATTCCAAACTGCTTCAAGAGCAAGAATTCCAGGCCTAGTTTTCTTCTCCCATGCCCCCCACCTTCCTAATTCTGTCATAAAGCTGTAACTGTTGGCTTAGTCCTAGACTCCAGGCTGCTGTCTAATATCTCTGTGTGTAACCCCCTGGCTCCTTCACCTTCGGGCGACTCCTGAGCTAGGCTGAAAACGGAGATGGAGCAATGCCTGTGAATAACAAGATGACCGCATCCACAATTGAGAGCAAATGTTTACTGAGTGCTGTAGCATTGTTAGGAATGAGGCAAGCGGAGGGGATACGGCACCTTCTCCAACCTTCATAATCCTCCTTTGAGGGAGATGTCAGCATCATTCCCAGTTCATGGATGAGCAAACTGAGGATTGGAGAACTTTCCAAAGTCACATAGCTAAGAAGTGTTAAGCTAGGATTAAAACTGAGATCTGACTTCAGCGTTATTCTGTCTTTCCGAATACTCAGAGGACATGCCCACGAAATGCCTTGTCTGGATGGTTCGAGTAGGACTCAAGCTGCCTAAAATCTCTAGATTGGGCTGATGGGACCTGAAGCGTACCTGATCCTCTCGGGTCCTGTCCCTCAGAAAGATCTGCTTCTGTCTGGAGATGGAAGCCGTCCTGTAGTAATCCACCAGCTTATTGAGAGATGGAAACTTCTCTGTCCACAGGAAGTAATTACCCTTGTTGTCTCTCATGACCTTGAAGTGCTGAACATCATCCTCATGCCTAGAGATCAAGGCAAAGCTAAATTGTCTATTACATGGTGACGACGTCCCTGCCTCCAGGGCTGAACGCATGCAGGGATGCTGGAGCTCTGTTTGGGTAGGAAATCGAGATATGGCTGGCTTGCCCATCACTGGGCAGGTGGGCTGGTGCAGTCAAGTTTAGGGGGAGATTTGTGGAAGGGATCGCTCAGGACACAGCCCTCATTAGAAGGGATTTTTACATCAGCAGAAGGTAATCTGTCTTCTGACACTGGAGCCGAGCTTTTACAAGAGAAAAAATGTTCCTAGTGCTTTAAAGACTATGAGGTCAAGGACCTTTTTACAATGTTTATTTGAAACATGGCAACCCCTGAGTCCTGTACTATGCTAAGGACTCTGCCAAGACTCAGAGGGGAGAGGTTTTCAAGCCCCCGTTATCTTTCTGTTATCAGAAAACTTTGAACCAGCTCTTTTTAGCCCATAAACTAGCTCTGGACAGTAAGAGAGTGCCTTGAGAAATTTGTCACGTTTTGTTCTCTACATAATGGAGATCTCTTGGTCTTGGTTTATGTTTTGCATAAGTAAGCTTATAAAGTATTTTGAGCTTTTTGGGGAAAAAGTGTTATATAGAATTGTAGGGTTTTATTGGAAAGGACTTTAGAGATTATTTAACCTTGTGTCTGCATGTTACAGTTGAGGACGCGAAGGCTCAGAGAGGTGGAGGGGCTTGGTCAAGGTCGCCGTGGGTGAGTGGCAGAGCTGAGGCAAGACCCCTGGCTCTCTGATTCCTGTCTAGTGAGCCGGGCCTGCCACACCATCTACATATGCTAACTTTTTTAGATCGGCACCTTTTGACACAGCTGGACTCACAAGGGATGGGGCACATTTGCACCTGGGAGGAGAAATTGGATCTTATTCATCTGAAACGGGGAGACTGGGCCTTTACGAATAGCTCCAGTCTTTCTCCATCACCAAGGCGTTCTCTTTCGGAAGTCAAGTTAATTTATCAAACAGATATACCTTTATATCTAAAAGTAAACTAACACTAATGATACCAATTACCTGATCCAGTAGAAAGGTCAAGAATTTAAAGAGTGTTGGAGAATAAAGACACCTCTGATGGTTACTAGAGGTTTCTTAGGGATGGATTTAGTGGTCTGTGTTCAGAGGGGACAGGAATTCTGACCTTCAGTCTCATCTGTGTGCTGGGCTCTGCTCACAGCCAGATGAACCCATGCAGTGACCTCCGCTTGACTGCTTTGGGGTGGTAGCTAACACTCTGCAGTCACTGCATGGTCTTCCCCTTGGTTTTGGCCACTAACCAGTGCTTTCTTCATGCTAACACCAACAATGACATATGGCTCAACTCATAGTCATCACTCCTCACATCTGGGTGAGGAGGAGGAAATATTCTTGTGATATAATTATTCATCCACTGTGCCTTAGTCAAGGATCTCAGAGAGAGAAACATTAACCCTGTCACTATCATGAGCTGAGAGGATGGATGACAGGGTTGCAGTTGGTCATCTGGGCCTACAGAGAGAGAGTGGCTGAACCACTGTCTCAAGTTCTGAGAGGAGCAGGGGAAAAGATGTGACTCAGGGCTCCAGACTCTAAAGTCTAGTGTTTCAGACCCTTAACAAATGCTAAATGATAGGACTACAATTAGCTCTTAATTATCTGTGTCCATGACAGAAAGCAGATGCATAAATAAATATAAATGATCTTGCTTTGGAATATATTATATTACACGTCTGCAGAAGATGTAATAATCTATGGTAATCATCGGCATAACAAGAAGCTGCATTGCCTCAAGAGCAGGTGAAGACCGTGGCAGCAGTCAAGGCTGGCCACTTTGTAGAGTCCACCGTCATCAAAGAAATATAAACCATAATTCCTAGCTGAGAAAAACCAGAGTCAACTTCATGCAAACCAAAGGCACCAAGAGATGCTTCTCCATGTAACAATTTACTTGGTCCAGGCTGTAATCCGGGCACTTAAGAAATAGGGTTGACCTGTAAGATTTATTAATTAAGATCTAACAAGTTTAGAATTTGTGATATGTCAATATTGGCCTGAGCAAAAATTTGCTATCACCCTAGCTGTGGAAAAGACAGTTTTAGTTAAGGAAAATTAAGAGTTTCAGCAAGATTGCAATGGCAATGCTAATGAGACCAAGCTACTTTTGAGCACTTTAGAGGCACATGTGCATAGGAATGGTTGCCCCACTATTTGTAAGGCCTTCATACCTATTCCTTAAAATATCCATTCTTGGGGCCGGCCCGGTGGCATAGCAGTTAAGTGTGCACATTCCACTTTGGTGGCCCGGGGTTCACCAGTTCAGATCTCAGGTGCGGACATGGCACCACTTGGCAAGCCATGCTGTGGTAGGTGTCCCACATATAAAGTAGAGGAAGATGGGCACGGATGTTAGCTCAGGGCCAGTCTTCCTCAGCAAAAAAAGGAGGATTGGCAGCAGACGTTAGCCCAGGGCTAATCTTCCTCAAAAAGAAAAAAATTCCTTTTTTCTGAATGGTAAAGTGACCTCAGTTTATTACCTGAGATTGGATTTATGTACTTAAAGTACTAAAACTGCATGCCTTTCAAAATATGCTGAATAATCCAGCCCAGCATTTCCTGTCAATTGACTTGACAGTAAGGTTTCACTGTCCAGGTTGTCACGCCTTCCTTCTCGCAGCATTAATTCTTGCACTTTCATATGCGGTCACCAAGTCAGGTATGTGACTTGCATTCCCCGACACGCTGACCACACGCCGTGAGCTCAGACTTGGGGCTTCCGAGTGTGGGGCTAAGTCATGTTTATGCCTGGACTGAGTCACTTCCTTCTGAGGGCTGCACAGTTTTTGCTGTTACGGTCCCCACCCCCGCCCCCCAGCCCTCCTCGCTCTGCTCCGTCGCTCTCACTTTGCTGTATTACAATGGGTTGAGGTAGCCCTTCTTTTTATGCGGCCACCTACAACTGTGTATGTGTCCTACCGCAGTGACTTGGGGTTTTCGTTTTTCTCTGACCCGTCTTCAGACATGCATCAGTAGTAAAAGAAAAGCTTAAGATTTAAACCCCAAGACAGAGGTGGACAACTGGGAGTTCTCCTTTCCTTCTTCCTCATTTCCTCCCACAAATACTCATCGAGCTCCTACTGGGCACAAGGCACAAAGGTGAAGTAGATAAAAATCCTGTCCTTCCAGAAGCACCTGGGCTAGAGGAGGAGGCGGATGAATGTACACATAATTTTGGCCACAAACCAGTGTACCAAGGAGTTATGTATACGTGTTAGAGGAAGGAAATGGATGGCAACATAGTTGGTAAGACGCCTGGGCCCCTTGGCCACCATGCTGCTGCGATAGGTCAGACTCAATAGGTCACCTCACGGCTTAGCAGTCTGGCTCAGGACAGCATCGGGCATGGCCAGTACCTGACGGAGATGGAGAAGTCCCCGGGGGAGCTCTGGCTGGCCCGGATGATGAAGAAACCGACCTCCTTGCCCATGAGTAAGTTCTCTGCCTGGTGTCTCGAGAGGCCTTCGTGAAACCATCTATCGGGTGAGAGAAAATCAGAGGATCTTGGTGAGACACCAGGGTGGCAGGAAGGAGAAGTGGAGGAGAGATGACCCAAAGGGAGAGAGGCTGGCAACTGGTCACTAGAGAGGAGAGAGGCGAAAGGGGGGCCAGAAGCTTTTGAAACCGAGCAGCTGCTCCAGGCACTTTCCAGGCGAGGCAAGTCAGTGTTCTCCTTTACGCATCCTCTTTGTTCCTTCCCTCTAGGAGAAATCTCTCTCCAGCTCAGAAAGCCTGAATTGTGGAAATGTGCCACTGCACCAAAATGGGACAGTGTGGGAGTGACTCACTGTGGGAAGCGGCCGCCTGCTGGCAGCCGTGTGAGGGATGTCGCTAGGAAAGAACTGCAAGGACAGGAGGGGACTGCTTCAGGCACTGAGGGCAGTGAGGCGGAGCTGGGAAGGGGCCTGAGTGCTCGTTCCCTGGCTGAGAACTCAGTAGCCCATGGGACCTGGGTGGCATGGAGCTCATAGGGTGCCCACAGAGGCTGCAAGGGAGTCCTGCACACACACGTGGACATGAGTGAGGCTGGCTGTAGCCAGAGAGCAGTGTCTACACACTCAGCTCCTGGACCCTCCCTGAAAATTCAGGCTGGAAAATAATCTTTACTGTGGAAAAGGAGGAAGTGAGGAGGAACCGCTCTTTCAGGGGAGCAGGCAGGGTGGCAGCCTCTGGAAGTGTTGCTGCGGCAGCTCAGCTCGGCGTGTGTGAAAAGGCCAAGCACTTCCACAGCGGCGAGGCTGACGGCGGCTCCAGCCCCAGGGCAGGAGGCCAGAAACCGCTCTCCACCACAGAAAAGCAGAGTGTTTGCAATCACTCAGCGGCCAAAGGTGGGCCGCGTCCCATTTCTTCAAGGTGGCTGCTCTAATTGCTGCCGCTGGAAGGCTAGTATGTGCGTCCCTTTATCGTGGATGTCTGATGGGCTGTGGCTTTGGATTCCTTTGTGAGCAATGCTCTGTGCTCTCTAGAATTTAGGAACCTGAACTCCAGACGGGATGTCCTTATTCCAGAGCTGGAACTTCTGGGGAAGGTTGGTAGGGCTCTGAGGGACTGGAAACAGAGGGTTTATGGCCGTCATCTGGCTGGGGATCCTGCCAGGGTATTTGCCATCCAACCCTCAGGTCTGAACAGTGGCCACCACAGCAGGGCCTTGTGTAGGACACGTAATGGGGATGGGAACAAGAATGGGATGTGCTCCACAGCAGCCATGCTTCAAAGGCAAGATCTCAGAAGAGGCAGCAAGCAGCGAGGGGAGCGTTTAGAAAATACACATTTGTCCTCTGATTGGAATTTGATGTGACTTCTTTCGAGACCTGACAAAATGTCCACAGCCCACTCATATTACATGAGTGGCCCCGGTTTTATCATTACACACCATTCCAAAGCTATTCGCTCATTCATTTAGCAGCTTTTATTAAACATCTACTGTGTGCTGGGCCCTCTTCTGGGCACTGAGGATGTAGCAGTGAGCAGAACAGACAGGAACTCCTGCCCTCATGGAATTACACTCTAGTGTGTGGGGGACAAACGAAGAGGAGGGCTGGGGAGGGAGGGAGTGATTTAACCTATGCTGACGTGGAGGGCTTCACTGGCAGAGGGAGCTTCTAACCCTAAAGGAGACTGGGGAGATGAGGAGAAACCAGCAAAAGAGCCAGACGGGGAGCAGCCGGGAGGAGGGGGGACCCCAAGGAAGGGTGTCCCGGAGGCCAAGTGAAGAAAGTGTTTCAACGAGAGGGAAAGATCCCCCACATCAAATCGTGCCGAGATGACGGCAGAGAATCGACCACAGGGCTGGGAAGTTCACTATGACCTTGACAGAAAGGTTTCGAAGGAGGTGTGGGGCTTCCAGAGAGAATGGAAGGCGAGGAGTTAGAAACAGCAAATATAAATAATTCTTTTAGGGGCCGGCCCAGTGGCGCAGCGGTTAAGTGCAGATGTTCCACTTTGGCAGCCTGGGGTTCGTCAGTTCGGATCCCGGGTGCAGACATGGCATCGCTTGGCAAGCCATGTGGTAGGCGTCCCACATAGAAAGTAGAGGAAGATGGGCATGGATGTTAGCTCAGGGCCAGTCTTCCTCAGCAAAAAGAGGAGGATTGGCAACAGATGTTAGCTCAGGGCTAATCTTCCTCAACAACAACAAAAAATAATAATTCTTTTTGAAGAAGCAAGTGGTAGCTGGAAGCGGATTTGGGATCAAGAGTTTTCTATTTCATTTTGTTTTTGTTTCTTGGTAAGATGGGGGAAATTGCAGCATCTTTGTTGGCTAATAGGAATGATTCAGCAGAGAGGGGAAGAAAGTTCACTCGGGAGAGAGAAGGGAGAATTTCCGCAGGAAGCACAGCCAGTTCTTTCCAGACAGCTGCAGGGACGGCAGAGAATCTGAGCGCGGTTGCAGGAGGTGGGTGGATGCAGAGAGTCAGGTGGGCAGTGGGATGGAGGGCCTTCTCTGGTGGCTTCCATGGTCCCAGGGAACCCGGAAGCAAGGCCCTCAGCTGAGAGTGCGGCGGGGGAGGGGCTGGAGGTTTGAGGAGCGCGGAAGGTACCACTGACCTGTGCTGGTCATTTGGAAGGTCACAGGGCCCAGCTGAGGTCAGTGGTCATTCTATGGTTCAGTGGTCGGGACTGGTTTGCAATGAGTGGTGCGACTGCTCCTCACCGGGGTCGCCAACACCACTTAGGTTTTCTAACAAACCTTTGCTGTTTGAGCTACAGCCTGACTTTCAGACAAGATTAGATTTCTATCTAACCCTTGTGGTCAATTCTTGAGACAAACGAGACCCAATCTCAATTTTTCAGTTTCCTCTTTATAAAGGGAATTTCCCCTTTTCTCCCACTGACTTCTCTCATCGCTGTGAGCAGGGTGGGAGGAAGGCAGGGAGCATCCATCCTCCTGAGCCGTTTGGGATCCCGGGTTAGGATGGAGGGTGGGCAGGGAGAGCCGCGGCTCCTGGAGAAGGGAGGCCAACAGCGCCCCCACTGGAATTCTTGGGAACTGTGATTACAATTATAGATGATTTTAGTTTATAAACTTAAAATAGGCAATACATGCACATGGTATAAAATTCAAAAGGGAATGCAGGGAAATGCAAATCTCCCTCCCACCCCTGGCCTTCAGCTGCGTGGTTCCCCCTCCAGAGGCAACCATTTTTGACAGTATCTGGGGTGTGCATGGGTAATTTTAGCAAATACTGAAAAAATAAGGAGAGAGTGTTTGGGTAGGCCCATCAGCAGGCTGGAAATACTTACTCAGGAAACTGGATGTCTATAAAATTCTTGGGCACATATCCTTCTTGGCTCCCAAGTTCCGCCTTGAACCACTCCTCTTGGTTACTTAAGATCTACATGGAAGAGAAGGAAGGACAAAGACACTGCAGAGAGGACATCAAGAAGCAAGGGAAAGGGGCTGCAGGGCACAGAACGCCCTTTTGGATTTAGGGGCAAAGTCAAAGAAACCACATGGCTGCTCTAGTGGGCGAGCAGCGGGTTGATTTTCAGAGTTTGGCTTCTCTTGACCCCAAGCTGTTTCTGTCCACTTGTATCACCCATTCATGTGACCCCACCATGGCACGGCCTCCCAGGTGCAGCATCAGGGGCTTCCCTGAACTCCTTTCTCCTTCTATTTTGGAAATTAATGTATCCCAGATCTCAGCACCTTAAGCTCCTCATCTGGGAAGATGGCGGAGAGGCAAGAGCAGCTACTCCATGTTTTTTTCTTCTCTGCCAGGTAACCAGGAATCTTTTAAAAATTTAATTTGTTCTTATTTTTTTAAACGAGTGGATTAAAACTTAGACATCCAAGTGGGGCTAGCTTTGAAAACAGTAACTCTTTGTGTTCATACCCCATGTGTTTCACAAACAATTTCTACATAACTCAAGGAATCTGGAGTGCCTTTTCTAGACTTGCTTTTAGAGCCAGATCACAGGCAAAACCAGAAGTTCTGTCTTGTTACTATATGGTCCTGCCTTGACTTTGACCCCAAATGTTATCACCTACCCTGATTACTCATATGACTCTCCAGACTTGACTCTATGTGGCTTCTGGTTAATTCAGAAAATGAGTTTCACCGTTAAAAGACAACTATTTGCCCCCCACCTCCCACCGAGAATGTGTCAAAGTATGCCGAACAATAATTCCAGACGAGGATGGCAGAGCAAAAAGAGGGAAAGAGCCTTCACGAATGTCATGGAGCCACTGAATTCACTTCCCAGGAGCCCTCCTACTTCTGGACTTTGCGAGAGAAATAATGAATCTTCGTTATCGTTTAAGCCATTTTTAGTTTCTGTTTCTTGTAGCTGAAAATGTCTTAACTGATAGAATTACTATGATAAAAGGGAAAGCAGAAGATGGATAGGAAAGATTACCCAGAGGAGAGCCCATCAGGTTGCCCAGGCAATGAGAGCAGTTACCCAGCGAAGTCCGACGGCCGAAGGCTACTTCCGGGATAGGGGGACGTGCGGTGCATTCTGGGAACAAACGCCTCACGCTGTTGGGAGTTTAGCTGTGACCCCAGGAGGAGGGAGAGAGGAACGCAGGTCCATGTGGAAAAGTTTGGAATTTTATCTTGAAATTTAGGGGAAGCCATTAAAGGGATTTAAGCAGGGAAATAGCACAGGAAGAATTAGAGTTAAGAAGAGAATGCTGTATCAGAGCGGGAGGGGGGAGTGGAGGGGTGAAGTCGGGGAGAAACTGTAGGAAGAGCGCAGCCATCCAGGCAAGAGAGGAAGGGGACCCGGGCTAAGAGGCGAAGATATATTTTAGACGAGTTCAAGAAGCCAAATGGGCAGGATTTCCTGACTGTTTTCAGAGCTAAGGGGAGAGCGGGGATTCTAGGATGGCTCCGGATTTCTGGCTTGGGAGACTGAGTGGGTGGTGACGCCTTTACTAAAATAGAAAATACAGGAGGAGGAGCAGTCTGAGGAAAAACTCACGGACTTCAGATTGCCTGTGGGTGAATCCCAGTTGCCCCTGGGACCGTCTGAGAAGAAAAGCTTAGTGAGCAGTTGGAGCCGTGTGTCTGGGCTCAGCAGAGAGGTTGCGATTTTGGAGTCATCCGAGAGTGGGCGGAGCTGAAGTCATGGGTCCCGTGGGTTTCTCTCTCCCGGAGATGGGAAGAGAATCAAAGGGAGCTAGGTGTCAAGAAGCAACGATGGCCTATTTCTAATATCACTCCCGAGGTGGAAGAAAGGGGAAAGTCCTTTGAGTTTGGAATGAGAAGACCTGGTTTCTAGCTTGGTCCTGTCACTAGCTGTGTGACCTTTGGCAAGTCAATTAGCTCTGAAAAGTAGGGACAATAATAACCAGCTAGCACCTCATGGAGCTGATGCGAGGATCAAATGAGCCCTGGTAGCTGAAAGACCTTCAGAAAGTGTACGCTCTTTTTAAAAATACGATTCTGTAAAATGTGATATTCTTACAAGGGAGGGCTCCAGCTCTGAAGGACATGGAAGGTTTATAAGTTCTTTAAAGTATTATATGTGTATGTTTTGAATTTAATCATCTGTTCTGAAGAAATAAAAGTGTGTCCCATATTTGAGTTCTAGAATTGCTGAGAACTGAAAACTTTATAGTTTCTAACATCAAATGTGACTGTTGGTATCACTAAGGACGTGTGGGTATGTGTATGCTGAAGGGGGTGGTGGAGGGGAGCAGAAAATCTAGGTCAAAAGAAGAACCAGGAAACTCCAGTGGCTGGTATTCACACAAAGAACACAAGGACATTTCACTCCATGCCCTCTCCCCCAATTTAGGGCTTTGGAAATCCTTTGTCCTGTCACGTGGGAATGCAGTGTTTGGCCTAGGTAGCTGATGTCGAATATGAAGGTGAGCAGGGATGAGGTAAAAGAGGCCATTTGGAAATTGGTTCATCATGGTAAGAACCACATTTTGTACTTAGCTCTCTGACCTGAAACCAGCTGTAATTTTAGTAATCACGGCTCCCACCCATCGACCTCCTGTAGCAACTGAAAGATTATCCCACAATGCCGGCCATTTCTCCCCGCCACCTGATGCTCGGTCTGCCCGAGATCGTGTTCCCAGAGAGGTGAACTTACAGGCTTTTTATGGTGGATACAAGGCAAGGTTTTAAAAAATCTCATTTCTGCAAAGTAGAATATTTGGGGGGAGGTGGTTTCCTTCTGCCGTTGTTGGCGCGGGGCCCCGTACTTCCTGTTCTCATCTCGCCATCTCTTCAGTTCCCCCTATCTCTTGTACGCATCGTGTAAACCTGAGCAAGGAGTTCAGCCTAACACGTGAGGTTTTACACTTAACTTTACTGTAGCTGAATTCTTATAATGCTGCCTATGAGGATAATTTTCTGGGTTACACGGCCTGAGAATAAGGCAGACGTGGGAAGAGGACAAAATGTGCGGTTGGAAGAATTTTAAAATTGGGTGGAATTGCAGCTCTTGGAGGCATAGCACAAAACTGAAGCCCTGAAGAAATTAGTGACGAAGGATTAACTCTTAGTGCTTTTAGGCCGCTGTTTTAGTAGGAAGAAATGCAGTCAAGTTAGACGTGTTACAGAAGCAGATAGAAATGGACTGGGTCAAGAGATGTTTTAAAATGACTGAAAAATTCAAATGGGGATTGTAAGTCTGGTGCTGTGTGTAGCTTCAGGTCTGGAGGTTTGTGACATGAACATGATACATCAACTCCTGATTTTTCAAATGTTTCACAGAAGTGGGATCAAGTCACTCGGCAGGAGTTCCCTGTCCACCATCTTGTACACCATTCTGTGATCAGCATCTAGCGAGCACCTGCTGTTTGCACTTAGGTGTTGGGAATCCAGAGATGAATAAGCTGTGGGCTTTGTCCTGGGGACTCACAGTTTGGGGGGGATGGGTTGGTGGTGAGCTGGTCAGACATTTTTTGTACCTTCTAATGAATAAAGTCTTTAGGTTTTTGGCCTTTAAGGCCAAACATGGAAGAATGTCCCAGGAGTGAATTGCTGGGGTAGTCAAGAGCTGGCTTTGAAAACAACTGCGAGGCTCCTGGGTCGTGTTACTTATCTCTGGAGGAGAGGGGCACACCTTGCAGTCGGACATAGAGACCCACAGGCAGGGCCACTAACCACCAGGATACAGACATTCTGTGAGGCTGGGCTAACAAGCCCCTCTCCACGCTTGTCTTTAATGTCACCACTGCAATGGACAGAATTTGAAAAGAAGGAGGGGTTTGGCTTTCTGATGGAATTCTAAATGAACACGGAGAAATGCAATTTAACAATTCAGGGAATGTGTACTGAGCCCCTATTTGGGGCTGTGGCTTGTGGTCGATGCTGGGAAGAGACAAAGATGAACCTGGCGTGGCTCTGTTCTCAGGGAGCTCACAGGCCAGTGGAGGAGTCAACCATGCATTCATTCATCAAACATTAGGGAGGCTCACCTTTCTGCTGTTCTAGACATTCCGGCAGACCTGGCCTCGCCCTTCCAGAGCTTTGGTGAGTGGAGTAGCCAACACTTAAACGGGCCGTCAGGATCCCATGGGGTAAGGGCAGCAAGGAGAGATGGATGAACAGGGTGCATGAGAGCACGGAGGCTTGGCCTGCTCATAAATAACTGTCATGTGAGGCGAGATCGTAAATGTCTGGAAAGGAGTGTGTGTGAAATGCTTTGGAAGGGCTGAAGAGGGAGAGATTGACTCTGCTGGGGAGGTATGGAGCAGGGAAGATTAGAGAGGGTTCCATGGCAGAGGTGGTCAAATATGTGTGTGAGGGAGAAGGGCATGTGGAATATGGAGAAGAGCCTGAGAAAGGACGGTGTGTATATTGCAGTGGGACTTGGGGGCCATTACGTACACAAAGATGTGCATGTGTGTGTGCATGTATGTGTGTGCATGCATGTGTGTGTACATTGATGCATGTGAGCATGATGAGGTTGGGCAGTGGGTTAGGGCCCGATGACATAGATTTCAATCAATTGGTAAGGGGGAACCACTGAATGCTTTTGAGTAAGGAAGTGATATGATCTGATTTGTTTTCTAGAAAGATCCCTCTGGGACTAGTATGTAGAATGAAGGAAGGAGGAAGAGACAGGAGGCGATGAGGCCAGTTAAGGGGCTGTGGTATGGTCTGAATAGTGAGAGGCAGCAGGAATGGGTAATACTGATAATATGGTGACCATTTATTGAGCATCCTCTTTGGGCTGGGACTGTTACCTCTAATCTTTCCCACAATCCCACAAGATAGATATGGCCTCCACTTAGAGATGAAGACACTGAAGTTCAGAGGGGTCCAGTGACTGGTCCAAGGCTACCTAGCTAGGAGCTGGGATTCAAACTCAGATTTATCTGGCTCCAAAGTCTATGCTCCTTTTTACTGCATCAGATTCCTCTTTAGTGGAGAAGGGGATTGCTTGATATCGTGAAAGATATCGTGAAAAGATATCATGAAAGAAAAATGTTCAGAGCAGAGTCCAGTTGTTGAGGAGTCAGAGAGAAGTCCATCCAGATCTAGGAGGGGGACAGTCAGCAAAGTCAGATTCTGCAGGCATTTTAGTGGAGTCCTTATGTTCCACATCAGGACGATCACTGGTGGACTTCACGGGAGTGTTGGGGGACAAGGGAGGATTCCAGTGGGTTCCAGTGGAATGAATGGGAAGTGAGGAAGTGCAGGCACCTCGCTCAGAGAATTCTTCCCAGTATTGGCAACAAAGGAGAGGAAAGAAATTAGGAGCTGGATTGAGAAGCAGAGATGAAGAAAGTTCTTTTTTTCTTCTTTTTTACTTTTCTGGGGACTTGGGAAAACTTAAGCAAGATATTAGGTTCTGTTTGCAATGGGAGATGGGGGTGGGGGAGTTGGCCCCTGGCATCTTTTGAGGAAGGATGCTCTAGAGTGGTTGATAATCACAAGGTCACAATACCCCATAAAGAAGGGAGGGACTTCCCACTATGTGGCAGATCCCTCTGTGACCTTGGTACGATCCCAAAGTGAAGGCCACCTTTATCTGGGTCAGCAGCCCAAGCAATATTTTCCCCTTGAGAAGCTCCAACATCGAAGGCATACTCTGCAACCACATTACTAGATCTTGCAAGGTGAGAACAGTTAGAAGGCTAAATACTGAGGTGTTCAGATTCCAAACCAAGTCATCCCACCTGGTTTGTATTCCATAGACACTTTCTGACATGTCACCCTCCCACATGCTGACAAAGTTCTTTCTATAGTGTAATTCTCAGTGCTGAGACAATGGTAGCCTCAGGGCTGCTGGGCAGTCTGAGAAAGTCCATCTAGGCTACTGAGGACCAGGGATCAGGATATCTGAGGGTGCTTGAGGCCAGGCATGGGGGCATTGGCATCACAGACTCCCCATTGGCCTCTTGAGGGGCTTGTGCTCTTTTGCACAAAACAGGGGCTAAGACGCTGAGTCTCTAAGTGTGGTACATGAAATGTGGAAGAAGTCCAAGGCCTCTTCAGCTCAGCAAGTGGCCACTACAACACAAGCGCGGGCGGAAGACAAGTTTTAAGAAGCCCCTGAATGGCCGGGCGTGCATGCCTTTGTTGAGCCGCGTCTCCTCCCGCTGCCTTTCCCGGGCTGTCTCCACCCTCACCCTCCTCTTGTAAGCCCCAGCCATGCTGAACCTCACAATGCTCACTGAATTCCGCATGGGCTTGCTCATCTCGGAGTTTTAACTAAAAACCCAATTCACTTTCATTGCATTCCCTGACAACAGACATCACCACACGTTCCTACAACCCCATCTTTCATTGTGGGATCACTTATTCCCTCACCTGTGCTCCCCAAGCACTTAAATAAGAACATCCGTGACAGCCCTTTGGCTGGATTTCTTTCCCCCTCCAGACCACAAGCATCTCAGGACAAAGATGGTGGCTTATGCCAACTGGATTTCCACCACCTGGCCTGATGGCTGGCACACAAGGAACCTTTTTGACTGAGGTAACTTCTCTTTTTGAAAGCAATTGTGTGCAGCTCTTAAGAAACAAAGGCGTGGATCGCCAGACCAGAGTAACCTAACCTCCCCGTGGCTCCCGCGGACCCCGCGTCACCCACCTTCAGAACATCTCCAGTGTGAAAGCTCAGTTCATCCTCCCCTGAGGCGGTGAAGTCAAACTTGGCGATGGCTTCCATGTTGTCCCGTGAAGCTGGAAGAGATATAATACGGTCATTGTGCCTTCCTGCCGGGGGAAGGGCAGCAGAGCAGTTGTTGGCTGTCTAGCAGTCTTAGCAGCTGGTAGGTGAGTGGCCGAGTGTCTCCGGGCCGGACAGGGAGGCACAGGTGCACAGTGAGGGCCTTTGTCTTTGGGAAGAGCTGCTGGAGCCTTTAGGATCTGGTTCCCGCATCATTCTCTGAATCCCCAATGCCAGGAGCAGGAAATGAAGGCCAGCGACCGCCTCTCCTTGCTCCTATCATCTCCCTTCGCTTGTTCTGGCCTGTCACCATTTCTGGGGCATCTCTGTTTCTGGTTGATAAGGACAGAGACTTGCTATCATCTCTAACTTGAGGCCCGAGGGGCTGGAAAGACTGTTCTGTAAACACTGTCCCGAGGCTGTCCCTTGGCAGCTATATTTAACCAGGCGGTGTTAATTAGACAGATGCCATTTTCTCTTTTACATCTGAATCATTTAAAAGAATTAGACAGCATTGGCCAGTGGGGAACTTAGCGTCCTTCTGCATGGTTTGAGAGTAGAGAGCATTCTGGTTTTAGAGTTGGGAGACTCAATGAGTCAGATTCCTTATTTTATTATTATAGCGTTAAGCCAAGTACATTCTGAAAATTTTTATTTTAATATTTCGGAATTGAGTTATAATATCAGCCCCTCCTAGTAATACATGAGACCTGTGTAAAGATAACTAAGTTAGCCTGCAAATGAAATACAGTTGGTTTTTTGAAGGAGACAGTAGGATGTAATAGAAAGAGAGCTGAGTCCGGGTTTTGTTGGTGAGCAGCTGTATGATGTTGTGCAAGTAACAAAAACTTTTGGAGTCTCGGTTTCCTCACCTATAAAGTGGGGATCATAATATTCAACTAATAGGATGTGAGATTAAATTAAATAATAGATGCAAAGTGTTATACAAGGTAAAACTAAGTAGTATTCATATTTTAAAACAATTTTGTGGAATGAGTTTATCCTCAGCAAAGGCGTCCTGGCCAAAAGCAGCTCAGGTGTTCTTCTGATTTCTCCCATCTCCTGAAACTTCTCATTGAGATTTGATGCTTATTCTCCATGGCATCAAATCCTTTGGTTCTCTGATAAGACAGCTTACTGTCAGGACACAATCTTGCCACTTTCGCTTGCCACTTATGTTTTGCAAAATTTGCAAAAGTCTGAAACCCTTTAGCTTGGTAACCCTGAAACCTAATTGACTTTCAGGGACCAGTAAACTGGGACCACAGTTGTCCTCTCAGTGGGAATTTCTGCCCAAGTGACAAGATTTAGGTAAATAAGGAAAGCGGCTACCGGTGGAAGGGTGCCACATGCGGGGATCGGAGGATTAAAGCCGACTGCAGTGGTGGTGATCGCAAGGGGCTCGTTTCTCTGATTTTCCACATTTGCTTGGTCTCCCAAAAGCAATTTGTGAAGATGAATGTTACCAGTCCCAAAGATAGATATTCAGCAGAAAATATTTCAGGAGCCAGAGTAAAATGTCATAGTTAATTCTGCGAGCTTTATCACCAGCCAAAACTTATTTCCAAACAAAAAATTATATATATTTACCTTTTGGACACTGTTTTCAAGATCTGTCCATCTAAGGCAAATTGAAATTTCTGTGACCTAGGATGACCCACTCAACAGGAAGGAGTATTCTGCCCTCCTTAGTGAACGCTAAATGCATTTGCTGATTTGATCCACCCCATTGCTTTAACATGCAGAGCTTCCCCTAATTAAGGCCTTGCCTCCAGTTTGCAGCGAGATGTGGCATCTGTGGGTCACCCACGTGGTAGACACTGGTCACCTCAGGAAATGAAGTGTCAGGTGAATGGTCCTGAAGACCAAGATGCCATTTCTATGCAAATTTACCTTAATAAGCAGGATGGAGACAAGGAGAGGGCAAATGCTAAACATATTAGAAAGTCACATAAATTCGTGATTAAAAAAATTTCCCAGGCGTGCTCTACACATGACCTTGAGCTTGGGAAGTTCTTTCTTTCCTACATTACATGTAACTCAGATCAGGCCCAGGTGCTCGGTCCCGGCTGGATGTAAGTGACCTCAGCGAAAAGCCGAGACAGAAGTAAAATTGCTTTTGAATCGTGGCTCTTTCTCTGCCTTCCCCCAAGAGGCAGGTGGTACGACAAAGCCAAGGACACAGACACATCACAGAGCTCCCCAGCTTATAATATTAATCCTGGCTCAAAAAACCCAATTAAGCAGGCCCACTCTTCATGAAATCACTTTAGAAAAATTTGTTTGCATCCTGTTTCCATTTGTGAAATGAGATCTGTTCTGATGCTGTTTGGCAGGGGGAAGAGGTGCAGGGGGCCTTGGGGTATGCCCTGCTTTCGTTCAGATCATAGGGCTCGGCAATCTCTTCCCTGCAATGGTCCCTAATAGCAGAGGATGGTAAATGTGCCATCCCCAGGGGTCAGTCTTCTGTTTGATCGTAAAAATGCACGGAAATTTATATCCCATTCCTTTATAGACATTAGTTTTAATTTTGAAAAGTTTTAAATTACCACCAGGTAAAAAGAAAACTGAACTAACATAGTTTATTCAGTATTTATCCATTTGTTTTACAATCTGCACCTACTACCACTGCATATGGCCTCTGGGAGACAACAAATATATATGGCGGAGATAAAAACATGGTAGCAACAATTCCAAGAGAGAAAAGAGGAGAGAGAGAGTGAAAGAGAGAGCAGCCTCAAGAGTTCAAGAAGGCGATGGCGCCTTCTGGCTTCTGTTCGCAGTTACAGTGCTTCTGATCTCAGGGGACGATGAAGACAGAGACGCCTCTTCAGAGCGCCTCACAGATGGATTAAATGTGCTTTCCCTGCCAGTTATCAGCTTTAGAAATGGCTGAAATGCTACCTGTCATAGGGTGTGAGTGAGAAGTGACAGCATCCAGGTGCCAAGCCACCAGTAGCAGCCTCCTACTACCCACCCCAACCCTGTTGACGGTGCCATTTGTCGAGAAATCCCACTTAAGAACCACGCAGAGCTCCCGCCCCTAACGCTGGCTCTGCCGTTCAGCACCTCTGCCCCTCTCTCACTTCCCCATTTCACAGATTGCACATAATATCCATTAGCAGCCCTGCACAGGGCAACGCCACCCAGGACTTCCCCAGGTACAATTTTCTCTGCCCCTCCATTTCCACTTAAGCTTCTTTTACCACCAAAAAACCTGAAAAATATTCAGGCCACGTACCAGGAATGCTTATCTACTTCTAAAATATAGTCACCACAGCGGATGAAAACAAAAAGCCACAAGACAGTTCTTTAAAATTGCCTCCATTTGAAAGCCAGATTAAGTGGATGTGTTCCGAAACACGTAGTTAAGGCAAGAAACTTCTTGAACGATTTCAGCTCGTCCTAAGTTGGCTAAGAATAGCCAAGTTTTCCATTTTATGCGTCTCTTACAAAGAGCTATTGTGTAGCACCACAAAGCTTTTGGAAGATTCAGGCTCAGGATCCATCAAAAGAGGGAGCCGAGTCCTAAATCAAATCAGCGACACTACTTCCTATTTTGCTGGGAAGAGCTCTAGTTTAAAGATTATATGACTTGCCCCAGTTTATGTTGTAATTCGGTTAACATAATGTCGTGGGAAAAAAAGAGAAACATTGCTCTTTACAAGGATTGCTTGTAGCATATTTATCAGGACATTAGTAACAAACGTAATTTTTATTAATTTATCTTGCAAATAAAATGAAGTGATAGAATACTGGGGAGTTTAGATTTTTGGACTTCGGTCATAGATACCAGGAGGAGCTTAGCTAAAAATGTGGTGTTACACCAGCTCTCCAATTTCACATAACCTGGGGACCTGGAACCCACAGCCTTTCTATTTGTCAGGCAGAGCCCTTGAATGGACTAGGTCAGCTCAATTACTTTTCAGAAGTGGAGAACCTTACACTGCCAGGAAAAAATGCTTATAGCCAAGCCTCCCCGTACACAATAGATATGTTCTTGAAAAGTTATTTTGAATAGAGCATTTGTGAGTGGAAACATATTAGCATGCATTATGGAGGTTCATTTGTTAAAGGAACCCCATGGTGAATCACTTTACAGAATGAAAAGGAAAATTTGTTATGCAAATAACTACCTTTTAATTTATCTGTTTTAAAGCCTGGGTTTTCATGCATTGAGTCTTAAAACAGAGCACACCTGTGCATCCTTTCTAGCCCCTCACACAGAGGGTTAAATAAATATTAGCTTCCCCTCTTCTTAACTCTCAAAATCCTTTTTAAAAACCTCTCCTATTGACGCATCACATTCCACCTTGAACTATAGACCAGGAGTTGTTGAGCTTTTTCTGTAAGGGCCAGAGAGTCAATGTTTTTGGCTTTGCGGGCCATGCAGTCTCTGCCACAGCCACTCATCTGTGCTGCTGAGTCGGGAAGGCAGCCTGAGCGAATAGTGGATGACGGTCATAGCTGGGTTCCAATAAGACTGTACTTATGGACCCTGAAATTTGACTTTCATACAGTTTTTACATTCCACAAAGTATTATTATCTTTCTGATTTTCCCTCCCAACCATTTAAAAATGTAAAAACCATCTTAGCTCGTGGCCAAAAATATGTGATGGATCAAATTTGGCCTATTGGCAATAGTTTGCAAACCCCTAGCATAGAAGTTTCTATCTATATCTTATCTGCCCTAATAGTCTGTAAACCTCTTGAGGAGAAGGGTTGTGGCTTAGTAGACAGAGTGTGGGCTTATGGCTAGATGGACCCGGATTCAAATCTACAATGTGCCATTAATTCCCAAGTGTCTGTTTCTTCATCCATAAGATGGGAGTAACCACACTCACTTCATGGGGGTGTTGCATGTTAATGTGTTAAAGACTCTGGCACACAGTAGGCGTCCAAGAAATGGTAATGGTAGTAATAGAGTTGTTATTTATTCTTAGATTCTGTACAATACCTAGCTAGTGCTTAGTAGGCTCTTAGTACATGTCTGCTGAGTGAGTAAAAACATGA